AGGCGCGAGCTACCATGCCCAGCTAATTTTTTTTTTTTTTTGTACTTTTAGTAGAGACAGGGTTTCACCACATTGACCAGGAGGGTCTCAATCTCTTGACCTCGTGATCCACCCTCCTCGGCCTCCCAAAGTGCTGGAATTATAGGCGTGAGCCACTGCACCCGGCCAGTCTCCATGTGTATTAATTTTGCCTCAGCTTCTTCCTTTTAGGTGCACAATTCCGTGAAAGCAGGGACATTGTTTTGTTTCCTGCTGTATCCCCAGGTTTTGGTATAGTTTCAGACACATGGAAAATGTTCATTAAATATCTTTTGCATGAATGAAAGATGTTTATGGATGAGAAAACTGAGGCCTAGAGAAGGCAAATGATTTCCCCGAAGACACAGAGTTGGTGGCTGCAGAAGCTTGGGGGAATCAGACATTCAGATCCCAAAGTCCAGACCCCATAAAGAGTCACCTGGCTTTCTGGTCCCCTGACCAGACCAGCTTGATGCCAAGCCTGTTTGTCTCAAGCTGAATTGGGGCTTCTCCTTTGGGTCTGTAACAGGGCCAGATGACCCCAGAGGTGCCTTCAATTTTTGAGATTCTATTATCCACTGTGAAGCATCTATTTTAGTGAGGAGATCATAGAGGCTCTGAGAAAAGCAAGGTTTTGGTCATCCCTCAGGTGGTCACGTGACATGGGGAGCCAGCCCCTTCGCTGGGAGTGCTGACAGGATACTGTTCGAATAGAAGTCCCAACCAGGGTCCCTTTTGGGGAGGTGGAACGTTAATCTGATCCTCAAAATATGAAATATTTCCCAGTCTGCAATTGAATGCAGGATGTGTTTGCACAGCGACCACCAAGAGAGCAGTATTATGTGGAGAGGAACAGAAAGACAAAGCTCCCCGGTTCCATTCTGGGAGCTGACGGCTCTGCTCTCCCCGGGAGGTTGCCTCTGTGTAGCTAATTACAATGAGTAAAGGAAATGGGAAAGTGAGTGCGAATGAAGTGATCTTTCTCCTCCCCCAGGTTCCTGCTTTACAAAGAGCTGGTTTTTTTGGTTTTAGAACCCTGGGGGCTGCCAAGATGGGCTCTATCACGCCCCGATGGATGGGCACATTCTCCTAATATCAGGTCACTGTAGAGCAGCATTCGTGTCGTGTTTGTGGCAGTGAGATGTGCCACAGAGAGCGGGGCGGGGGCCGGGGTAAGATGCCTCAGAGAGTTAATAGACCAAAATAATCAACTCACATTTGAATAGCATTTAGCAATTTACAAAAGGGTTTTGTCTATCTCATCTCATTGAGTGTTTACAACATTTTAAAGATAAAGAAATGGTAGCTCAGGGCCAGGTGCGGTGGCTCACGCCTGTAATCCCAGCACTTTGGGAGGCTGAGGAGGGTAGATCACGAGGTCAAGAGATCGCGACCATCCTGGTCAACAAGGTGAAACCCCGTCTCTACTAAAAATACAAAAATTAGCTGGGCATGGTGGCGTGCGCCTGTAGTCCCAGCTAGTCAGGAGGCTGAGGCAGGAGAATTGCCTGAACCCAGGAGGCGGAGGTTGCGGTGAGCCGAGATCGTGCCATTGCACTCCAGTCTGGGTAACAAGAGCGAAACTCCGTCTCAAAAAAAAAAAAAAAAGAAGAAATGGTAGCTCAAAAAGGTGTGCTGACCTGCCATGCATTGCAGTTACCAGAGGCTTTGCTGGGATTTTAAGCTACATCTTCTCAATCTGAAGTCCTTGCTGTTTCCATAAGCTGGGGCAAATGTAGACATCTTTCCTGATGCCTCTGAGAGGCAAAGGAGGGAAAGAGACGGATGCCCACTGCTGCCCTAGGCTAACAAGGGCTAACCTTTACTGGGTGTTCACTTGCTAGGAACTCTGCTAAGCATTTTCTATGGAATAGAATCTATTACTAGTCTGTTTCACAGAGGAGAAAAGAGAGATGCAGAGGGGTGAAGTAACTTACACAACGAGCAAAAGGTGAAGGCAGGATTTCAGCACCGTCTCTACTAATCAGGATAGGATACTCTGTGTTGCAGTAACAACCAAACACAAAATTTCAGTATCTTTTTTTTTTCTTTGAGACGCAGTTTTGCTCTTGTTACCCAGGCGGGAGTGCAATGGCGTGACCTCGTGATCCACCCGCCTCGGCCTCCCAAAGTGCTGGGATTACAGGCGTGAGCCACCATGCCCAGCCCAATTTCAGGGTCTTAACAAAGATTCATTTCTCCCTCAAACTGCATATTCACCGTGGGTTGACTAAAGGGCTCTGCTTCACATAGTCACTCTGGGACACAGGCAGACAGGTTCCACTATTACAAAGCCATACCATTTGGAATAAATGGGCTCCTGTCACTTGGGCAGAGGAAGACAAGGCTGGAGGGTCTCACACTAGCAATTAAACGCTTTGGTCTGGAAGTGACATGCCACTTCTGTTTATAGTCAGCTTGGCCTTGTCTATCAGCCAGGGAACTCAGAAAGGGAGAATTTAATGAGAGTAAGTACGGGCCGTGTCTGTTAGCCTGGTAGACTGAACGTCCACGCTTTTAATCACCACGCTGTGCTACTTCATCAAGCATGAACTCCTCTGGTTAAATTCCTTTTATGCATTGTGTTTATCAGTTTGCTTCTCCTCCATCTTTTCTTCCCTCCATCCCTGCAATCCTCCAGCACATGCTGAGAAACTACAGGCACTCTGTCAGATGATGGATACTGAAATAAATGATACGCGCTCTCTGCCTTTAAGTGACCTTCTTTGAGGAGGAAAGTGCTAATGTGTCATACACAAAATCCTGTTATCAAAGCAGAAGGCTATAAATGAGATGAGATCAGAGATCACAGCTAACCCACGGGACTTCCCAGGAGGAAGAGAAGGTGAGTAATGAGTCAGGCAACGCTTTCTGGAGGAGACAGCTTTTGGGGTTGGGCCCTGAAGATAAGTAAAACTTAGAAATGGGAAAGTGGAGGGACATGGGAACTCCAGGCAGAGAAAAGAGCTTGGACCAAAGCACAGAGGGAGGAAAGGGCAGGGGCATATCACACACAAGGCATAATTCCATTTAACTGTGTTGAAATGTAGGGTAAGTGGAAGGGAGGGTTGAACCACGTGGGGTCGTCTCATGGAGAAATTTGAACTCACACATTGGTGTGGAAGGCAGACAGGAGCGTGTTTATGTCTAGGCCAATAGCTCTTGTGGTGAAGCAAAAGCCTCCAAAGGACAGGGTGGCATTTAAAACTCTGCAGAGCCCAGTGATAAAGGGGTCATGTCATTAAAACTTATCCTCCGGCTGGAGACGACTTAGAGGGGCTGGGGCTCTCATTGCAGGAAGAGGCCTAATACACAGGGTCAAGGTCCTGTGGCCTTGCTTGTGGCTGAGAGTAAGTGTAGGTCTTTGGAGCCTTCTGTAGTGCCCTATACAGTTGTCCCAAAGAACCTGCTGGCCCTGTGCTGGGCTCTGGGGATGCAGAGATGAATAAATGTGTCCAGGGTGGACACATAACACAGGAAGCGCTGCACCCGACACCACTTGGCCTAATAGTATCCACCTGTGGGTCCACATCTGCACAGCTTCGCTTCCTTTCCTGGCTTTTTCATTTTTCCCTACTCTTTTCTGTTTGCTTCTGTATTCTGTCAGTGCCATTTCCACCTATGCCAGTGCAGCTTACTTCCGTACAGCCTCCAAATTTATCCTGCACCTTGGCCTCTCACTCCCTCCAGGTTGGATTCACCTGGGGCTACCAATAGGTTCTTGGTCCTGCAAACCCCGGGCCGCATGGCACCTTGCGCCCTCCCTCAGCTGCAGCTCCAGCGCTGTGAGTTCTACCCCTCTGAAGTGGGTTGCATTATTTCTAAAGTATTTTTCATGGCTGGGCGCGGTGGCTCACCCGTATAATCCCAGCACTTTGGGAGGCTGAGGCGGGTGGATCACGAGGTCAAGAGATCGAGACCATCCTGGTCAACATGGTAAAACCCTGTCTCTACTAAAAATACAAAAAAATTAGCTGGGCATGGTGGTGTGCGCCTGTAGTCCCAGCTACTCGGGAGGCTGGGGCAGGAGAATTGCTTGAACCCAAAAGGCAGATGTAGTGGTGAGCCGAGATCGCGCCATTGCACTCTAGCCTGGGTAACAAGAGCGAAACTCTGTCTCAAAAAAAAAAAAAAAAAAGTTATTTTTTTCAGCTCTTACATCCTGTCTTCCTACGTTGAGTGCCCCTTGTATACAAAAAAGGCTACTGTAAACTGTCTTGACTTTGCTTGGTTGGTAACTGCATGAAGAAAACAATAAACCCTGTTTCTCTAATGACTTACAGCTTAAAAAACATTATCTGGGCCAAGTGCAGTGGATCACTCCTGTAATCCCAGCGACTCCAGAGGCCGAGGTGGGTGGATTACTTGAACCCAGGAGTTCGAGACCAGCCTGGGCAACATAGTGAGACCCTGTCTCTACAATAAAACAAAACTCCAAAACAAAATAAAACAAAATATTATCCGGAAGCAATTTCAGGTATCTGCAAACACTCCTGAGAAACGAGCAAAGTGAACCCTTGGGAACTCAACTCAGGGACTTTAGGATTTCTCCGCAGGATGGCCTCTGTGTGTGTGCATTGCTGCAGCATCTGTTTTTCTTATTCTGCTTCGCTACAGGTTCAAAAGGTTGGAGACCTGGTAACTTTGCTTTTTACCCAAACCACAGCATTGTAAATAAACAAAACCAGCCATTCTCACACACTTGCCTGTCCCAATTCCTTTGGGACCTGCATCTCAGATTCAAGTCTCCCCATTTCCCATTCCCATAATGGGATCTGGCACAGAACATTTGAATGCTGTGTTCTGAACATAGGAGCCTCCAGCGGTTTGTCCCAGAACTGCGGTAACTGGCCTCAGGGTTCTGCACAAGTGGAAAGCTAGAGAATGCGCCCCGCAGCCTGGAGGTGACACAAACATTGTTTCTGCAATCTCAATCCAAACCTGTTTTTTACTGTTAATGCATTAAATAACACAAAACGTGGTACTTTTTAAAACATTTATATTTATATATATAAAAAAATTAAATATATATAATATATAGTGTGTTTGAGACTAAAAATATAGTACATAATATTTAAAAAAAAAAGGAAAAAAAAGGCAGAATAGGAAAAGGTGTGAGGAACACACAGATACACATTGCTAAAAATCTACGATGGTTTGTCCTAACAAAAATAATATCTTTTTTCTCTTCTCTTAATTATCATCATGGATCCATTTATTTCTGGGGTGTGGGTGGAGAAAATTCAACTGGAGCTAGAAACTGAGGTTGTAATCCCAAGAATGGCCGGATAGAAAATGTGACCACAGGGAGTCCTGGGCCTCTTCTGGTGAAATTGGATGCAGCAAAATTTTCCGGGTCACTGTTGCTAACAAGATTGTGTGGACCTTCTATCGGACTGGGAATTTGGCTGCTCCCTCCCCAGAGTTATTCTCAGGGGAGCAGCATCTGAAGAGCTCCAGAAGCAAAGAGAAGAGTCCAGGGCCCATCAGTACTCAACAAGGCCAGTGGTTGGGGCCAGCAAAAACCAAGGTAGGGACAGCAGACTGGCAGGAATGAGTGACAGTCCTATGTAAATGGGGTTATTATTATTATTGTTATTATTTTTAAGGGCAGGTTTGTACCAGAACTGCCCAGTATGGCCTGTGACTTCTGCGCAGCAATTATTTCTCCAGGGACAGGGCCTGGAGCCCCCTCACAGTGATGCGAGAAAATGGGATCCCCCCTACCTCCTGCACCCACCCCTACCTACCAAACCAGACATCTCAGTCCTCTCCACCAGCCCAGAGGTAAGCGCCAGCACACAAAGGTGAGCCAACGCCTTTCACTAAGTCTGGCCTTGAGGAGAGGAGGTGAAATACCATAGGGGGGGGATAGGAGGAGGCTGAGAGGGGAAGGGGAATGCTACTTTTATAGCATCTTCACAAAAATATAAATTGCCTTTCAATTACATCCCTTGGTCTGTGCACTTCAGTGTTCATTATGGCCTCACCAGGGTCAGGAGCTCACTGCTCCTTTTCAGCGATTCTCAACACGCACAGTGGCCCGTAGAGGCACCAAGCGGCGGCCTGGCTCAGGTCAGATAGCACTGACTTGGTGGGGAAGCCAGGATTTTGAGGCCAGGGTGCTTGGGGAGGAACTGGAGTTTAGCTGTGGGGACAGAACCTTCCACACAGCAAGGAACAAGGCAGTTTGCTCCAAACGGGGTCTTGGCTTTAACGCGGCTTTCTTCAAACCCAAATGGCTGAACATTGCTATGAACATGGGCCAAGTTTACTGAGAAACCGATTCCATTTTACGGAGCCTGGGACTGTGGCTCTGACAGGTTAACGACAGGGCACGAGGGCAAGAAACTCCAGCATGCCGTGCTCCACTTTAAAGCAGATAAAGCTCCCCTCTGAGTTAAGGGGATGGTCGCCCTGCTGGGATAAGGAGAGAGCATGCTGCCTGAAGCCAGGGTGCTCCTACTAATGATTCCATTCATTTAGGAGAGCACCGCACTGCTCCCATCCCTGGCCTCTTCCTTTCTCACGTATTAAGCCTTTTGCTTAATGCAAACTCTGTGGCTGGACTTTGAAGGATCCAGAATTTAGGATATAGGGTGGGCCCTTCACAAGGGGAGCGACCGTGGCTCAGCCAACATCACAAGATCATCTTCAAGATCCAGAATGTATGCCAACGCCGTTGTACCCCTTTTCCTCTCCTGGCTCCCCGTGCAAGCTACTCCTTGGAGGGGGCAGCTGTGCTTACTCCCTGACCTCTGGCTCCGGGCAGCTTGGACTGCAGGCTTCACGTGTTTGGTAAGAGGAACGAGCTGACCCTGGCCCAGAGGAATGCTGCCAAGTATCAGGGTGGAGGAAGGCTGCTTCCATCTCCCCTACAGAAGCAGTGCCTGAAACCTAGGCACATAGTACAGGAAACTCACTGTGGCCTACCCTGGCAAAAGACACCTTTGCAAACCCATCAGAAATGAGTGGGGAGCAGCACGGATGACCCAATGGCCAAAGGATAACCCCACATCAATTTTACTCTGAGGCTTAGGGTGTGTTTTATGTTGCTGTTTGGGATGAAGGGATCCCTGGTGGAAACTCATTCACACCACTTCTGACAAGATAATGAAGTCCATGGTGAAAGCTTCTTCGAACAGGAGAGAACCCTACCCTGACCAGCTCCCCAGCCCTCACCATGCTTGCTACTGCTCCCAGTTTCTTGCCAGCAATGGGCAGTCCCACCCTCACCCCTCCACCCAATGGGCATAGCAAAAACAGAATAGTTTTAGATGTGACAACCCTACCCCCTCATTTTGCAGGCCAGAAAAACTGGGGGCAATGAACAGAGTTAGGCCGAGATCTAACCTTGGCAGCTTTGGGTCTGGGTCCTGGGTCTCCTTGCTCTTCCCACTAAAACAAGCCATCGGATGTGATCAGGCTCACAAACTACTGAGGCATCACCATGTTGCAGGACTCCAGGATTCGACAGCAAAGCTCTGTGATCAAGGATACCTTCCACTCCCCAGAAAAGCTATTCCACTGGGCCCGCCAGGCAGCTTCCAATTCAGATTCTGATCGCTACCAGCATGTAAATGACAGAGGGCAGAGACTGGTACTTCCCTGTGCCTTCCAGGGTGCCTGCCTGACACCTAAGAGGCTCCAGTTGACGTGTAAGGAGCACAGAACGGTGAAGAAGCTCTGTCTGGCTTCTGAAAACCAGGCTTCCTTTCTGAACAATTCTCCCTGCACCTTCAGCTCAACTACCTAGTGACCGTAAGCCTGTCTCTCCATCATTTCAGTAGAATGAAAGTAACACTTAAGCCAAAAATGGATAGAGAATCTAGCCAAACTCAAAACAAAAATGATTTTTTTTTTAATATTCATGTTTAAAACGCCACCATCTTTAGACTTTAAGTCTTTGGGTTACCCATAGCTTCTGGGTTTTGTGAAAATAATAGAAATTCCCATGACCTTGTCTGTACGGGAATCTGCATTTCCTGACAGACCTTCTCACTGAGCTCTCATAAAAGGACTCTATTGAAAGGTATCAGCTTCCAGGGGTGGAACACAGCTGGCAGCCTGTAAATGCCCAAGCTAGGGCCCACTTCACAGGAATTTTCTCTGCTGGAATGGAGGAGGATGCAGAGGCCGGCTTCCTGTGAGGTTAGAACTAGAGCGACTTGCTTCCTGGGTACTACCTGTTCCTTACTAGCAAGGGGCTGGCCAGGAATGTCACCCCCCCGGACCTCTCGGTAAGGGCGGTAATGGCCTGTGGTTGATGAGCATGTAACCCATTAAAACGAACGTGAGTTATGAATGGTGACCATGGAGAAAAGGCAAGGAATGCTTTGGGAATTGCACCAGAGGCCCTGCCTCTCACTGGGCTGGACATGCAGTTGGGGAGGCGGGAAACTGCCGACTCCAGACACTGCTTCCTAGGAAGGTGAGGCTGGGGCAAGGGTACAGGTTCTCCTTGGAGGGCCTCTTCTCTTTGGTCAGAAGGTGGCAGCTGAGAAGGTGTGTGTTGGAAGTGCGTGCACATGGAGAAATGGCCTGTGGAATGCCTGGTGCCCTTCCGTGCCACCTTCTCCCGGTCAGCACAAGTTCTCCGTCAGGGGCATTTCCAGGCCCCCTACCTCTCCAGGTCCCCTCACCCAGCTCTCCCCTAACACTGTAACACTTAACAGTGTGTCCGAGGCTTGCGAGTATCCGCTCCCTGCACAGCCGCCCACGTAGGGTCGGTCATCCAAAGCTTGACACTCAAGGCACTGAAAGTGGAAGAAGGAATCTGATTGGTCCAAGAAAAAAAAAAAAAAAGACACTTAAAAAACCAAAACCTGTCTCTCGCCCCTGGCAGGTGGCCTCCAACCAGCTGATGAGCCCTAGGGTAGGAGAGTAGAGCCTGAGGGCCAGGCCCCTCCCTAGCCCTATCCTAGCCCACTGCGCGACAGGTCTGGCAACCTGAATGTATAAAATGGATTCAAAGTGCTTGGAGGCTGAGAGTAATGGAAGGTGTTGGGAACCCCATGGAGAAGAATAGGTACCACCTTTTCCTTCCACTGGGACTTGTATTTAGGTGGGGGAATCCCTACAGCTTTTCTTTCCAAATGAGGTTTTCATTGTTTTTTGTTTCCTCCTACAAAACCTCCACCCCACCTCACCACTCCCTAAACCAGCTCAAGAGTTAAAGCCGGCAAGTGGGGCAGATTGCGGGTGAAGAGGCTTGGGTGGCTCCCTCTAGTGTTGGTTCTGGAAACTGCTGTGTGGCACACAGTGGTCTCTAGTCCATCAGGACATGGTCCTCATCTTTCTTTCTCCACCAGGACCCTGACTTAGCTGGCTGGCCCAACATAGAAGAAAAGCGGGCAGTGCTGCCGGGGATTCCTGGATCCCTCTGCATGCTGACAGACAGATGTCCACAGTGGGCAGCCAAGGTGACTGGCATTTTGATCCCAGCTGACTGAAGGCTGGATTTGAATGCAGTGCTACGGCTGTTCTGTAGACAAGAGAGAAAATAAATCCATGCTCCCTTCTGCAGTACCCTGAGGAAGGAGAGACGCACCCAGGGTATGAGTGCAGACAACAGAGGGACTGGCCAGGCTCTCCTGTTTCCACCAGTCTGTGCCACAGCCACCCCCTCCCATACTTCACGTCCCTAGGCCAAAGTCTGCCCACCCCTGGGTACCCCTATTTCCACTGACAGGAGATCAGAGGGGTGGGATAGAAAGGGAATGCTAAAAAGTGCCCCCTCTGCTCTCCCCAACCTTTACTTTCCTGTCCCCATTCTGGGGTCAGGCAAGAGTGCAGGTCAGAAGAGACACATCCTCCCGAAGAAGAGGGAAGGGCAAGCCCAGGAGGCTGAGGCATGCACAGAGCACCATCCTCGGGACGGGGTGTTTCTGGGAGACCTGCTCCCCACTTGCCACGGTGGGAGGAGGAAGGCTGGTCCGAGAAGGGAGCAATGAGCAACGCCCCTGAATATCAGGGAACAGCTGTGAAAGCCTTCTCCTCTGCCCCGCAGAGATGCCCCAGCCAGGCTTTGGCCCCTACACGTGAGTCTGCATGCGCTGCTGGAATCGCTGGCCGTAGTCCGAGTGCTGGGAGGTGTAGGAGAATCGAGTGGCTGTGGCGTACTTGCCAATGGGATCATAAGCCTCATATGGGGTCCGCTCCAGGCCAGAGGGTGGGGCCTGGGGGTAGCCCAGTCGGTAGGTGGGGTACCCAGCTGCCCCAGGGAAGGGATGGGAGTTGAACTTCTCATAGTTCTCGTAGGACAGCTGGCTGGTTGTGTCGGTGCCTGCAGGGGCTGCAGGGCCAGGGGGTGTGGGCTCAGGGCCGTAGTCAGAGGCAGGGGCCCGGCTGTAGGTGTTGAGCTGGGCATAGCCGCTGGAGTGGGAGAGACGGGATGAGGGGCGGCCGTCGAAGCGGGCAGGGCCAGGGGCACGGTAGTCAGCATAGAGCACTGCCCTGGAAGACGGGCGGTCTTCATGGGCACGCACGTTGTAGTAGCCATTGGTGGGGTCCTGGGGGTAATGAGAGAAGAGGATGGAGGCAGTGTGCCCTCTTGGGTGCTGATCAAGTCTCACCATGGCCTTCTGGGCCTCCTCCTCCGGCTCTCCCCATGTCCCCATCTAGTATTCCACCTCCCCTGCTCCTTCAAAAACCCTCCCAACCACTCCTGCCCAAGTCTGTCCTTGCCTCCCCGCTGCGGGCCCTCAGAGACCCACTGTCCCAGCAGCCCTGGTGCCTTGGACCTTGCCCTTTCCGCACCTTCATCTCATACTCCTCCCGAGTGTCGATGGTGTCGCAGCGCAGGTCCTGCTTCAGATCCACATCATCCTTAAAAGACTGGGGAGCGGCAGGAGTGGGGCGTCAGCAGGTGGAAGCCCTGCTCTTGCTGCCTCTCACCAATCCCTCCCCAGATGCAGAGGCCACCTGCTCACGGGAGGGGTCTGAGGGCAAAGGCAGACTTGAGTTCTGCGTTCTCTGAGCAGAGGCTCTGGGATGTGGCAGAAGAGGCCAGAGACCCGGGTTCAAGCACTAGCGTTGTTGCTAACATGTAATGTGACCTTGTAAATGTCACTGCCCCTCTCCAGAGCTGTTTCCTCATCTCAGCAATGAGGCAGATGGACCAGAAAGCCTCTGGGGGTTTCGAACTTTCACAGTCTGTGGGGGGAAAGATGGAGCAAAGGAAGCCTTTGGAGAACCCCACCTGCCTATTCTCTGCTGGAGGAAACTAACGTGGGGTATGTGTGTGAGAGAGTATGTGTGTGAATGTGGGAGAGTGTGTGTGGCAGGACCAGGGAAGGCCAACGGAGGAAGGAGGGAATGACAGTGGATATTAGAGCTGGGATAGAGCTGGTCCTCAGAGGGTGGAGAGGGCAGGAGGCCAGGGAGGAGCAGGACCCTCACCGAGTAGATGGCCTTCATGACCCGGGTGGCTGTGGAGACGCTGGCGGTGTCATCCTCGCGGTCAGAATGCATTGTGAGTGGCTCTCGGTTCACTGTCTCCACCTTGATATCCAGCTTCCTCAGGGTCACATCCTTGCGACCTGGGGTGGGAGAGGTGGCCTGGACCAAGTGCTTCCTGCTGACCTCTGCAGTGGCTGCTTCTGGCTCCCGCTGGGCTGGAGCTCAATGGCCAACCCCCCACCCATCCCAAGCACTGCCTGTCATGGCCCCAGAAGGGCCGGGAGAGGTTGTGGGCTGCACAGGGTCCATACTCACTGCCTTTGCGGCGCCGGTAGAGGAAGAATGCCAAGGCGATGAAGAAGAAGATGAGCAGGATGCCTGCACCGATGGTGGCCCCAGCTATGATGCCCACAGGTAACACCTCTTTCGATGGGGGAGGAAAGGTGGAGAGGTGAGGTTGGAGTTACACTGGGAGCTAAGCTCAGTGCCGGCTGAAGGCTAGGCCACAGCTACAAGGGCAACCCTGGCTTGTGTACAGGGCTAAGTTTTGACTAAGCCTGGGGACAGCGTTAGGTTTAAGTCAACATTGGATTTGAGAGGAAGGTCTGCAGTGTGGCTGGATTTTGTCTGTGCCCCAGTTTCATCAGAGTGGAGATCATGGTCATGTCTTCATCCCTGCAGCTAGGCAGGAGTGTGCCCCTGGCCTTGGTTGTCTGTCTATCCCTGTCCTTCAGCCCACATGCCTGAGGCTGGGCTCCTTGCTCTTGTTTGAGGTCAGCTGTCTCCTAACTCTCCAGTCTGCCACACATGCTCCGACATCTCTCACCACCTTCCCATCCACAATACCCTGTGACTGCCCCATTTGCACCTATCTACCCAGGGCTCCACGAGATTTTCCTGGTTTCCTCTGCTTTCCAGAGCCGAGGAAGAACTCAGGAATCCTGCCTCCAGCCTTCTCTCTCTTCCTAGCAGCCCTGGTTGAATCCAGATCCTGCTTAGGGCTCCTCCCCTCTGAGATCCTTCCCTGCGGAGCCCCACATTACTGTATGTACTCCATTCTTCTCCACCCAACCCCCTGCTGGCATCCTCAGTTAAGACTTAACTTGGCCGGGCGCAGTGGCTCACGCCTATAATCCCAGCACTTTGGGAGGCCGAGGTGGGTGGATCATGAGGTCAAGAGATCGAGACCATCCTGGTCAACAAGGTGAAACCCCGTCCCTACTAAAAATACAAAAATTAGATGGGCATGGTGGTGCGCGCCTGTAGTCCCAGCTACTCAGGAGGCTGAGGCAGGAGAATTGCTTGAACCCAGAAGGCGGAGGTTGCAGTGAGTTGAGATCGCGCCATTGCACTCCAGCCTGGGTAACAACAGCGAAACTCCGTCTCAAAAAAAAAAGACTGAACTGATGGGATGCTGTCATTTTCCATGGGGTTCCCCATATCCTATGTCAAATGGTTAGTTCTAAAAAAAATAAAACAAAAACTGTTATATTTTCCTCCTTGGACTTGGCAGCTTCCAAAAGTCAAAGGAATAACCCCTTTCATCATGCGAGAAAGGCCTTGAAGGAGAGAACACTTCTCTGCCAGCAGAGTGACAATTCTTGAAGAGGGTGAGGGGCCCAAACTTACTGAACACCTATTATATGCCAGGTGTTTTGTAAATATTCTCTCATTTAATCCTCACAAGCAGCCAGTGAGATAGGCGGTGTTATTCCGTTCGCAGTTCATTTGATTCTTCTCCATTTGAATTCATTTGCTACCACCCTGTAAGTCCTTCAACTACACTGAAAGTTTCTCGAGGTCAGGGATAGTGTCTTGTTCACAGCACTTTCTGCAGCCCCTAGGGCAGAGCCTAGCACATAGCAAATGCTTAATAAACTTTAATAAAGTGAGGGAATTTCCCCAGTTGAGCATGGAGGCCAGGTTCTGGTGGGGGAGGCCCAAAAGAGTTCTTTCCCTCTGGAGTTAAGATCCCTCTGGGAGCTGATGCACAGACTGTTACAATAGGCAGGAACTAGAAGGGAGCAGCCCCAAACCCCTTCACTCCTGACCTCCCTTGTGTGTTCCCTCCCTCAGAGCAGAGCTCAAGGGAAGGGGAGCAGCTGAGCCCTGCCCCCGGAGAAGAGAGAGCAGAATCCACAGGCTGCCCTGCACCCCAGCTGGCAGGCAGCACTGCCAGTCACCTCGCTCTTCCAGCTGGATGATGGCTGTGCCCGGCCCGAAGCTGTTCCAGGCAGTGCAGTTGTAGTGGGTCTGAAAGTCAGCCTCCATGACATTGTTGATGGTGAGCGTGGATAGCACCCCACTGCCTGAGTTGGTCCTCTCCACTGTATAGCGTTCCAGGGTCCCCACCTCCAAGAAGTTCTCCTTCCATGCCCATGCCTGCGGTGGAGAGGGAAGGAAGGAGTTAAGAAGCCCATGCTCATGTGCCCGCTGATCCACCCTGAAGGTACCCTCACCCCTATGGACCATGTGTGCCCCCCCAAGCCCAGCCTAACACCTCCCTGTAACAAACCTAAGTCACACCTACTGCCTCACACCCTCGGCTCAAGGCGGAGCGGTGGCTCTCAAACATGGCTGACATCAGATTTACCTAAGGAGATTCTTACAAATATAAAGTCTTGGGACTTATGTCCTACATCGGAATCTCCAGGGAGGAGAATCTCTATTTTCATAATGATCGCATGTGATGTGGATGCAGCCGATCCAATGAAAAGCACTGGGAACCCCAGATGCAGAAAAAGTTCTGCACTGGTCCTCCTCTCCCCATCAAGTCCCCGTGTGGCCTCCCTGTCCCTCTCTAGGCCTCATTTTCTTCATGTATACATTGACGGAACCAGGCTAGGGCTAGTCAGTGCTCAAGGTTTCTTCCATCTCTGATAGTCTGTGATTCTTTTTTTTTTTTTTTTTTGAGACAGAGTTTCACTTTTGTTGCCCAGGCCGAGTGCAATGGCACAATCTCTGCTCACCCCAACCTCTGCCTCCCAGGTTCAAGCTATTCTCCTGGCTCAGACTCCCAAGTAGCTGGTATTATAGGCATGTACCACCATGCCAGGCTAATTTTGTATTTTTAGTAGAGATGCGGTTTCTCCATGTTGGTCAGGCTGGTCTCCGGACCTCAGGTGATCTGCCCTCCTGCTCCTGGCCTCCCAAAGTGTTGGGATTACAGGAGTGAGCCACCTCGCCCAGCCTGTGATTCTAATTAGGTGTAACTCAAGCTTTAGGCCTACCTTGAACCAACACACACGACCTGCCTGGCTGGCCCTGGAGACTGATCCACAGACTCATAACAGGCAGAACCCACAATGGAGTATCCCCGGACCCCTCCATCCCTGACCCCTCAGCCGGGCCATTCCCCTGCGTGGCCCCTTCCTCAGAGTGGAGCCTAAGGGAGGGGGAGCAGCTGAGAACTGGCTCCTTTCCAGGGATCAATCCTCCTAGATCTGCAAGGAAAGCCCCCCGGGAGCCCAGCCGCCTGCTGCCTGGGCGGCCGTGGTAATGAAGTGTCCCTGGGCAGCCGTGGAGTTAGCCAAATGGTCATTAAATGTGATGAGGGGTTTGACAGTTAATGGTCACGGAAGGAATTAATGGCTCATGGTGTGGGGGAGAGGAGAAAGGAGGGAGGAGAGTGGCAAGGAAAAGGGGCTGGTGGGAGGAAGGCAGGAGGGAGAGAAGAGTGGGCCAGGCAGGCTGGAGAACTGATGGGGAGGAAGGAAGAGGGAGAAGCCGGGGGAGGAGGAGACAGGGAAGCGGCGGGGGGCGAGGGGGAGCAAGGAAAAGAGCAGGAGGTCTATGACAGGGCAGATGAGGGAGAAGAGGAGGAGAGTGTTAGCCCAGGGGAGAGGGGGAACTAACATGAACTGAGAGCTGGCCTAGGCGTCTCACACCTGTGGCTGCCATGACTTCTCCCAGCAACCCCATTAGGTAGGAGTTATTGCCCCTGTTTAATAGATGAGGAAACTGAGTTTCAAAACACTAAGTAATTTGCTCAGGGACACATAACAAGTAAGGGAGGAGGTGGGGTTTGAGGAGGTAAAGGGTCAGAGGGACAGAAGGCAGAAGATTCAAGGATGGAAATGGGATGGGGAAATTTAAAGAGTGAAACCAGCAGAGACCGGAGGAGGCTGGGCCTGGGCAAAGAAGCAGGACATGGGCTGTCCGCAGGCGGGCCCGGCACTCACTATGCGGTCTGGGGGTGGCGTGCTGCCAATGAAACACTCCACCTTGCCACCGTCACCCCTCACGGCATACTGCACCGCCTCACTGGAGATGATGGGGGGCCCTGCGGGCAAGAAGACACGAGTCAGAACCAGTTAGAAACTGCAGTGCCGGCCCACCCAGGCCCAGCTATCTCTCCGGCCACTCACTCACCGTTCACATACAGCGGCACCTCCCGCTCCGCCACTCCGATTCGAGGCACAATGGCCCGGCAGGTGTAGGTGCCAGCGTCTGCTTGTGTCACTGACTTCAGCAGCAGCTGGTTGCTGTTACTCAGGACCTGGGCAGAGAGAGCAGCCTCTGGTGGGGAGCCAGGAGGCCTGGGCCCCTAGGTCCATGAGGGCCCCACATCGGAGGCATTGGAAAGAAAGCAGGAAGGGCCACAAGTGAATTCCCAGAAGGGAAATGGGGTTCCCGAGTCCATTTGGTCCATGCCCTGACTCTACACAGGTTGGCATGTAAGTACACCTACACCTCTGCAAGAGTGGGCAGGGATGGGGTGGAGGCCAGAGAGGGCAGGTGAAGGCTGCAATCGTTTTAGGAGGATTAGCCTCTTCTGATGATCTATTCTAGTATTTTCCTTGCCAAGTGCGGTAGGACATTTTACTCTGAGATTCTCTTCCTGCACTTCTGGCCCACATGATCTAACGGGGGTCTCTGCAGAGTGGCAGGCCACTCCAGCCTTCTCTAGCGAATCGCCTCGGCTTCCCCACAGCCCTGTGCAGCATTATGTACCAGACCTTCGCCACTGCAGCAGGCCCGCCCCAGGCGCTCCTTCCTCCCATCCCACCCTGCTTCCCAGGCACGGCTGGGTCTGTCCCCCAGTGCTTCTGAACTGGCAGCTGTCCTGTGAGGAGAGGTGGGGTTAACTGTAAGCACTGTGCTTCTCCAAATCCCAAGGCCCTAGAAATAGCCCAGGTTTAATCTGAAAGATAATGCAGCCCCCCTGATTTCTCTGCCCCCATCTGTGGCCACACCCCTTTCCCCCAGCCTTCAGAATAGGCAGTTAAGAGTCTTACCATGTTTGAGTCCTTTTTGGTCCAGGTGAGAGTGAGGGGGGGATTCCCAACCCAGACACAGGTGAGGGTCACATCAGAGCCAATGTCTGTGGTTGTGGGTTTGGGGTCAACTACAATCCGGGGGGCAACTGTGAGGAAGAAAGAAGCCACTTGTTAGAGTCTCAAGCTCATGGGGTTAACACCAATCAATCTTCTTCCTCCTGTCTCGCTACCTCCCTGGAGGAGGCATCCCCGACTCTGCCCCGGGCCCTTCAGTGGCCCCTGCTCTCTGTCCCCATCCCTGCCCTCCCAGCTACTCACAGTGGACATTTACTAAAGTGCTGACATTGGTGCTCCCCACTTTGTTGTGAACCTCACAAGACACAGGCTCCGTGAAAAAGGAATAATCCACATTTGTCTCATAGCGACTCTCATGGGCGTCTTCAATCAAGAAACCTCCTTTGGCCCACCTAGGGGGAGGAGGCAACACAGAGGCAGGATTAGGGCTCAGACCCTCCCAACTATATCCACAACAGTGGCCTCCCCAGTACAGTCTCCAACCCTGACCTCTTCTGTATCACTCCCCAGAGTGCTCACAGCCCCTGACCCGCTCACCTGTAGCCCAAGATCTCAGGATTGGCCGTGGCCTGGCAGGTAAAGACGACACGCTCACCCTCCTGCACTGTCTGTGGCTCGATGGACAGGGTCACTGTAGGAGGGTCTGCAAAGTAGAGGACAGGGAGTCAGGGTCTTTTCTGTCCCTTGAGTTTCTTTTTCCCTCCCTAACACATACACTCAAACCTGATCACTCTGGGGGGCATCTGGGAATTTGAGGTTGCAGTGAACCAGCTCCAATAAACAGGCTCTTTCTCACGTTTTCCACATGGAGCCTCTAGAGGGCACGCTAGGGTGACGACCAAGGAAGGCACCAAAGGGACAAATAAGGCAATGGACTAATGACTCACTGTGGCCACTAGGCGTCAGTGTGGGCTTGCTCGGCTCACTAAAAGGGATGGGGTGTGGGCATCTCCAATTGCTGCCCACACCTCCATGGCTCCCTGGGCAGAGATGATTTATGACACACCTACCAGGTAAGAATACTCCATGCTAGATGCTCTTCTGCTATATCTCATTTAATGCTCACAACCCCAGGAGGCAGGTCCACGTCCACATCCCTTATCTGAAACCCTTGGGACTGGATGAATTTCAGAATTCAGAATGTTTCAAATGTAGAAAAGCAATGCTGTGCATAGTATGTTTACTGTGTAAGATCCCCAGCAGCGTCTGAGTCACATCCCATAGCCACACGTATGAATACGTCTGCAGTGAAACTTAAGACTGAATTAAAGACTGAAGAGCCTTGGTTCAGGCTTTGCCACCAAATCACTTTTAGTTTGAATAAGGGACTGTAGGCCATTATTTTATTTTTTGCAATATATAGTACACAGAATTGGAAACCGAGGCCCAGAGAGCGTAAATCCTTGACTAATAAGAGACTGGTTTAGACCTGGGGACTGCCTGACTCCACAGCCAATGCTCTCTACCAGCCTTTAGTCCCCGAGGTTTAATCCAGGGAATGAAAGATGTGAAGAAGGCGAGCGTTTGTCCTGGATACCACAGGGGGACTCTTAGTTTGTACTTCTCAAAAGGCTGCCTACATTCTCCTCCAATTCCCCTGCTCCAGACTGCTCCCCCCAGGCCACTCACGGTGCACGTCCAGCTCGATGGAAGTCTCCTTGCCATTGGGGATGGCCTCGTTCATGCTTCGGCAGGTGAAGACTCGCCCGATGTCTAGGTCTGTGGGGTTAATCAGTAGCTGGCTCACAGTGGTCTCCCTCTTTCCATCCTTCAGCAATTCCTGGGACATGACAAGGGTGGGAGACATGGTCACGCTAAAAGCCCCCTCCTCTGCTCTTAAGGCGACCTGACTCAGAGATGGGCTTGGGCTGGAGGGGTACTTTAGCTTAAAGCTCACCCCCCTTCACTCCCACAACCTCTTGTGTGTGTGTTTAAGCAATAGACTATTAATTCCTTTTAATTAAAAATTATATATTTTTAGGGTCTTGCTATGTTGCCCAGGCTGGCCTCCAACACCTAGACTCAAGAGATCCTCTTGCCTAAGCCTTCTCAGTAGCTGCGACTACAGGGGTGTGCCACTATGTCCAGATCATAGACTATCTTCTGGAAAGAAGTTTCCTGAAAAATTGAGCAGAAAGTACAGAGAGTTTCCATATATCTCCTCCCCGACCTTAGAGTTTTCCCCATTACTAACTTGTGTCAGAGTGGTAAGTCTGTTACAACGGATGGACCAAAACTAACGTACTATTTATTACTAAAGTCGACAGTTTACATTAGGGTTCACTCTTTATTTATTTAATTTTTTTTTGAAGATGGGGTTTCACCATGATGGCCAGGCTGGTCTTGAACTCCTGAACTCAGGTGATCCGCCTATCTCAGCCTCCCAAAGTGTTAGGATTACAGGCATGAGCCACCGTGCCTGGCTTAGAGTTCACTCTTGTGGGTCCAGCGCAAATTCCTTCTCTTTCGGAAAGCCTTCTTCCACCAGCCCAGCCCCAGGGACTCTCTCCCAGACTGAATTTATGACCTTATAGTAACTGTGTCCTGCTCACAGCTCTAGGTACATCCAGCCTTGCTCGTAGGCACCATGAGTGAGTGTTTCAGGGTTAGGTTTCTTCTGCTAAACTGTACACTCCTTGAGGGAAGGGAAGGGACTCACAGGCTTGAGGTCTCGCGCTTGCTCAGTGACAGCCAAAGGTCCTTAAATATGGTCACAGGAACCCTTGAGCTGTTTCCCATATTGCAAACTGCCTGAGGGAAGCCGTATTATTAATCCAAGTGAGGTGTGGCTAACACTTTCCTGTGGCTGGACCACCATGCATGCTGCTTTGCTGGAGAGGGACAGTTCAGGGCCAGCGAAGTAACACTGGCTGCCTCGTGCTGCTCTGAAGCTTCACTGTCTTTAATGAATATGAAAAATGGGGTGCATGACAAATGGATGTTAACAAACCAACTTGTTTCGTTGCCAAAATATCGAAGAACATGTAGCCCCCATGAAGAAAAAGAACAGTTTTTGGTTGTGAAAAAGTTAAGTACCACTGAGGCCAAATGATCATGTTTCAGAGGAGAAACTAAGGCCAGAAAAAAGTGAGGTGAATTGTCCAAGGGCACACAGTGTGCTCAGGGAAGAACTGAAGCCGGAATCCAGGTATCCCTGGGGTTGTGCGCTGAGGAGCGTGGGAATATCTCTCTCCCCACACCGAGAAGTGCTCCTGCAGCGCCAGCAAAGGGCTGAATCCACATGTTTACCCACGGCTGGCAGCGTAACCCCAGACAGGAAATCTAGATTGGAATTTCAGCGGTACTGTCCACTCTGCTGTGTCATCCCAGGCAAGTCGCTTGACATCTTTCATGGCTTCCTCATCTATAAAATGTATACAAGGATCCCTGCTTCCCCAGCCTCTTTGTTGGGATGATTGGAATAATCTGACAATCAGATGCTGAAGAAAAGAGGCAGAAGTAATCAGTGGAGAGAAAGCACAGTCAGGCCCAGGTACAAACCCCAGCTCTGCTGCTTGCCAGCTGTGTGACCTTGGACAAGTCACTCAACCTCTCTGAGCACCAGTTTCCTCCTTGGTAAGTTGGCAATAATGCCTCCTTTATGGGACTCCTACGAAGATTGAGAGACTGTCCATAAAGTGCTTAGCATGCACAGTGTCTGGCACACAGTAGGTGGCTAATCCATGCAACTTATTATTTCTATTAGTCTCTGCTCAGCTACTGAATGGCACAGTAAACCTGGGAATTCATTTCTCTTCTCTGGGTTTCAATTTTCCCAACTGTAGAATGAGGTTGAACCAGATGACCTCTAGGACCCCTCTCATGTCTGTGTGCCCCTGAGTCTGTGGTCAAACCGCTGTGGGAAAGGAGAGGTGAGCTGGGCTAGGCCCAGGAGGAGCTGGGGGAGCTGGCCGGAGCTCACCGTGCTGGCCACAGCGCCCTCCTGCTGCGTCCCGTCCCGGAACCAGATGATGGTGGCAGCAGGCTTCGCATTGAAGGCCCGGCATGTGAGGTTGTGGGGGGTGCCTGCCTGCAGTAGAATCACAGGGCCTCCGTCAATCCGGGTGTCCTCTGGGGGGACTGTGGGAGAAAGCAGAGCAAAAGTCAGCGCAGGGTGTGGCTAACACTTCCCTGACGACCAAAACTCCTGGCTCTGGAAGCATCCTTCCACCTGCAGGTCCGCCTCTAGGTAGGCAGTACCACCCTGCCCCTAACCTACAACCACTGTCTCCACTGCTCTTGCAGTGGCTTCACCTAGGTTCTCAGCTCACACATCTTTCCCAGTCCTTGTCTGTTTTTCTTTCCTGGCCTGTAATAGTTTCTGGTACCACATGCCCTTACTATTTTTGTTTGTTTTTGTTGGAGATGGAGTCTTGCTCTGTCACCCTGCTGCGATGCAGTGGCACAATCTCAGCTCACTGCAACCTCTGTCTTCTGGATTCAAGCGATTCCCCTGCCTCAGCCTCCCAAGTAGCTGGGATTATAGGTGCCCACCACCTCTCCCGGCTAATTTTTGTATTTTTAGGAGAGAGTAGGGGTGGTTTCACCACGTGGGCCAGGCTGGTCTCAAACTCCTGACCTCTCAGGTGATACGCTTGCTGGAAGCATCAAACTTAGGAAAGGGCTGGGCTATCTCAGGCTCTGAGTACAGCTCACATCCTTGGGAGTCTGGCTGGGAAAGGTGACTACCTCCACAGGACTTCTCACCTCCTCCCTCCTGTCTGATCCTCTGCCCTGGAGCAGCCAGATGAGCCAGCCCATTACAGTAAGCTCCATGTCACACTGCGAGCAGGCTTTTTTCCCTATAGTACAGCTAAGAATGTGCCACTCCCCTGCTCAAACTTCTTCAACGGCTGCAACTGTCTAGGGCATCAGTTCCAAGCATTTCAGCCTCCTGTTCAGGGTCCTCAAGCCAAGACCTGCAATGCCCTGCTTTCCATATGGCATGCCCCCTCCCACAGCTTCTGTTGAAGTGCTTCCCACCCTGTTCAAATCCCAGCTGATGCACGAGGCTTTCCATGCCGCAGCCCACCCGCACCGTGGAGGCCCCCACCAGTCACTCAGAGCTCTTCACGCCATCTGCCTTGGATTTGGTTTACCCCTAGCAGTGATCTAACCCTGCCCCAACCAAAACTGTTATCCCTGGAAAAACGGCAACCCTGTCTCACTAATATTCATATGGTCGCCAGTGCCTAGAATGTGACCAAAGTCGGCTCTTGCTAAATGTTTACAGAATTGAATTGATCAATGTCTGATGCCAGCACATAAGGGGGACTCTCCCTGCTCTGTCTCCATAGGCTTCTAAGGTGAACCAGACTGTAAGTTCCCTGAGGGTAGGGGCTGTTTCTGTTATACTATCAACCCTTCAATGTCTAGCCCAGAGCTTGGGTGATCACAGGTGCTCAGGGATATTTGCTGAATTAATGAATGGACACTGATGAAATAAAGGCAGAAAGATCTTGATTATAATTTTTTTGGTCCACCCAGCATTCATCAACCAGAAATGAGAAAGGAACTCCTGGGTTTAAGCAATCCTCCCACCTCAGCCTCTCAAGTATCAGAAACTACAGGCACACACCATCCTGCCCTGCTGATTTTTATTTTTTGTAGAGAAGGGGTTTCTCTATGTTGCCCAGGCTGGTCTGAGACTCCTGGGCTCAAGCCATCCTCCTACATCAGCCTCTCAAAGTGCTGGGATTACAAGCATGAGCCAGCGTGCCCCACCAATACAGGATTTTGTTCGCTTCTTTCTGAGAAAGACAAGAAAGACTCAGAGGAGGGTCCAGACAGAACACTCGAGAAGAGACCCAGGGAGACCCACAGTGCCCAGTGCTGGGCAGGGCTGTCCTAGAATTTACATGAAGGTCTCCATGCTGGCGGTCTCCAGTAGAAAGAAACTACTCACAACCTGTCTTAACATTCTGTTCGACTCACGCACGCCTAGTGGTATAGTGAGAAAAGAATGAAACTTAGATTCAAGCTGCCTGGTTTCAAATCCTGGCACCTTTGTTTAGGTAAAGGTGTCTTGTGATCTCAGATGAGTTCCTAAAGTCGCTGAGTTTCAGCTTCTTCATCAGAGAAGAAACCAAGACATAGCAATGCCTACTCACTGGAGCCTCATGAAGGTCAGATGAGATACTGTACACAGAGTATAATGTGCAGGGCATGTGTGTGGTACGGACTGTATTAGCCTTGCTGCCTGGACCAGTGTAGCAGTGGCTCCAACTCCTGCCCAGCCAGTTATCCTCTGAATCCCTGGCTCCTCCTCCTTGTTCTGTGGTGTATCTGGTTCCAATGCCAGATGGGGGCAGGTGTGGGGATGGGGATGGGGAGCAGCTTGAAAAGTAGAGAAAGGTGGAGAGAAACGAATAAAGAGCTGCTGCTCAGGGCCTCCCGGTCTTCTCGGGGCCCCTCTAGGGCCACATGTTGCTGCCACGCCCAGGAGGAAGATCCTGGATGGGCAGAGCCCCGAGGAGATGCCATGCTCAGGTGCATGCCCAGGCGTGTGAACAAAGGGGAAGGCATCAGCTTCCTTTGCCCTGGTAATGCCCCCTTCCCCTTTGTTCACACAAAGACTCCCTATCTGTCACCTCTGCCAGTGGTTCACCTTTCTCTAGAATTTTCCAAACTCTTTGCCCATCCTCCATGAGCTCATCCCTGCCCTTCAGCTCTGGGGCAAATGATAACAAAGCTGTTAAGGTGCCTGCTGAGCCAGCTGTTAGAGGGCATGAGTCCATGTGTGCACGTGTTTCTGATTTTTATACAGTATGCTCATGTGCCTTCCTACACTCATGTGCCCCTGAGTCTGTGATCAAACAAGGCCTCAGTTTCCCTGTTTATTAAACTTCAAAAATAACATGGACACCTACTCCCCAGAGTTGCTATTGTGGAGGCAAAGCAAAACGCAGAAGGTGCAGCCAAGTGTAAATGGTGGTGAGATCAACAAGAGCCATTTCTACCACGCACTGAACGTTCATCTTGTGCGAGCCGAAGTGCCTCCTGCATACGACTTCATTTAATCCCTACCACAAAATCTATTCATTGATCCTTCTGTGGTAAATATCATTAACCCTAATTTACAGATAAGGGACGGAGGCTCGAAGAGGATAAGCAGATGTGCTCAGACACAGGACAGTGAGTTCGAGGGCAGAGCTGGAACGTGGACCAGGCTTGCCTGACCCAGAAGCCATGCTCATCACCATGCTTTTGGAGGTCTGTGTATCTATGTTGTGTCTGCATCCGTGGGGGAATGGGAGGCATCCCTTCAAAGTCCTACCTTAAGGGGGAATGACAGAGGCCATTCTGTGAAGAAGGCTGGTCTGGGGAGCTGGGTGGCCACTAAGGAGGATGGCTGGGGAGGAGGGGAGTCTATGAGGCTGACGGCAATGCAGGGAGGCTGGTACCGGGCACCGGGCACGGCCGGCTCCTCATTTCTGCCCTGCCTGGTGTCTGGGTCCCCCAGTTGCCGTAAGCAAAGGCTGTAGGTAAGCAGGTATGCAGAAAGGGATGCAGGAAGTGTCATGTCTTCTTGTTGCCTCCGTGTGCTGCAGGCGGTAGAGTATTTCAGAATTTAAGAAAAAAGACAAGGAGAGGAGAGAGTGAGGGGAGAAGAGCAGCTGGACTAACCTTTCAGCTTAAAGTTACTCCTGGGGCTCTCCCTGTTCTCTCATCCATCCAAATCACCCAGGCAGCCAGCAAGGACCATACCTTCAATACCCAGCATGCCTTTGAAACAAGTCAGTGGGCTCCCTGCTATATAGCTCTCCCTCACTGGAGTTTCGCTGTTGTTACCCAGACTGGAGTGCAATGGCACGATCTTGGCTCGCCGCAACCTCCGCCTTCTGGGTTCAAGCAATTCTCCTGCCTCAGCCTCCCAAGTAGCTGGGACTACAGGCGTGCACCACCATGCCCAGCTAATTTTTGTATTTTTAGTAGAGATGGGGTTTCACCTCGTTGACCAGGATGGTCTCGATCTCTTGACCTTGTGATCCACCCGCCTCGGCCTCCCAAAGTGCTGGGATTATAGGCGTGAGCCACCGCGCCTGGCCAGCCTGCTAGGTTTCAAACAGGGCCCTCTTCCATCTAGGGTTCCCACTGATATCCTCCTTTTCCAGGTTCCTCCTTGACTGACCCAAGCCGCTGGCTGCCACTGTAAGACACTGCTCCAGGAACACTTAGTGGCTTAGCTGGCCTTTCTTCATCTCTCTGTCTCCGGGATAAGGTAGGAGAGAGAAGCGTACTGAAGCCCACTCATTAGGATGGGAGTTTTCCAGGGCAGCAGTAGCACCTTCCAGGGTCTAAGATAGCGTTAGGGAGGAAAACAGAAGGAAGAAGGTTTCCTAAGAGTCTCATGGCTCCTTGGAATGCTTGGTTGAGCATGGTGCTGACATGCTTCGGTGAGGGAAGGAAGATGGTGTCTTGGCATTCATGCTCACCCTCTAATTTTTGCTGTCTAACCTCATTCCTGCTCCTTGCTAATTCTTCCCATTTTAGTCCTACAGAGGAAAAGCAAATCATCCAACAGCCTTGACTCCTGGTCCCTCAGGGCCTTTACATCCAATGAAATCAGCTGTTGGGTCCCTCTAGTCCTCACTGATTCTGACACCTCACATTCACCCAGACCTTCACAGTTTCCAAGTCCCTGTGCAGCAAAGCAGCAGTTGCTAAGAAAAGTCTGGTGTCATTATGCCATGTTACTGATGAGAAAACTCATGCCCAGAGGTTGTCACCTCTTTAGGATCATGATGCCAAAATGGCCAAGGTGCCCGGGTCTCCTAAGCACTGGCAGTCTAGGACTCTCTCCTCCCACTACACTGAGGACCTGTCATGTTCTCACCTCCCTCCCTGCAAAAACAAACAAAAACAAAACAGAACAGGCTGGGTGCAGTGGCTTACACCTGTGATCCCAGAACTTTGGGAGGCAAGGTCAGTGGATCACCTGAGGTCAGGAGTTCAAGACCAGCCTGGCCAACATGATGAAACCCCGTCTCTACTAAGCATGGTGGCGGGCACCTGTAATCCCAGGCACTCAGGAGGCTGAAGCATAAGAATCGCTTGAACCCGGGAGGTGAAGATTGCAGTGAGCCCAGATCGTGCCACTGCACTCCAGCCTGGGTGACAGAGACTCTGTGTCTCAAAAAAACTAAGCAATCAACCAAACAAAGAACAGAAAAGTTTCCTTGTGCCCAAACCCCCTCATCTCAGCTCCTCTCTCTCTTCTCCCATCCATCTCGGGGACTCCCACATACTCAGTGATTTCAAGTTAGAAGGAAGGAAAAGAAGGGGGCAAAACATATCAAACAGAGGCCAAAAAAAGGGACAGTGTCAATGAAACTAGGGAAGAGTCACAGACGGACAGAGTCCCAGCCGAAGATAGAAAGTGCAACAGAGTCAGAGACCGTCGTTGACTGAGACAGCCGTGCTGGAGAGAACAGGAGGACTGGCGGCTTCAGAAGCACCACCAAGAGTGAGGCCTGGAGAGAGGCTGGGGTCCAGGTGGGCAGGGGGGCAAGAGGTGTGCTGAGGCTGGCCTCGTTCTGGTTCTGTGGCACTGCTGCAGGAGAGAGTCCCCTCATTATGCAAATGGCCTCGGGGGTTACCATAGAGGGACATCTGCTTGGTCCCCCAGTGGGTGGCTGTCTGGGCGCAGGACTTCCAAGAGCCAGCAGCCATCCAGACACAGCAAGATCCCAGGCTCCCACCCCCGCCCCAGTTCTCAGCCTCCAGGCCCAGCCTCCCACCCCCACCCCAGTTCTCAGCCTCCAGGCCCAGCCTCCCACCCCCACCCCAGTTCTCAGCCTCCAGGCCTATTCCTTCCAGTCCTATTCCCCTGTTCCTGGAGGAGGCCCCCAGGTGAATCTGAGAGGAGGGATGAGCACTGAGGGAAGAAAGGAGGCAGCTGAGGGGAAGAAGGGCTGTGCAAGGCTGGGGTGAGGGGGAGGAGGGGCATGAGGGCCCTTTGATGCAGCTGAGAGGAAAATAGAAGGGAGACAGAGGTCCCCTCACCAACAAGCCTGACAGCCAGGACAGCTGGGGAAGGAGGGCCCAGGTCTCCATCACCCCACACTTCCCTGCTCCTATGGGGACAGGCTTGTTTCCAAAAGGCAAAAGGCCCTGTCCTTGAGTGGCCGAGGCACTGGCTGAAGCAGAGAGGATGCTGGGCCTCACACAGCCCACGTCCCACAGCACCCCACATCCCGCAGCACCCCACATCCCACAGCACCCCAGGTCCCGCAGCACCCCACATCTCCTGCCAGCCTGGTTTACTTTCTTCTACCTGGACTTAAGCATTAGGGCAGGGATGAGGCCAGCCACAGAGAGGGAGAAGCTGGGAAATTGAAGCAGGAACTGGAAAGTGGGAGAGACCGCCAGGATACAGAGAGATGGGGCCTGGGAGTACTGAAGGGCGCTGGGGTCCTTACTGAGCACGGTGAGTTTGGCCCGCCGGGAACGCAGGGCGGCCTCCGTTGCCTGGCACTCGTAAGAGGCGTCGTCAGAGAGCTCAGCATCTGTGATCTCCAGGTTGTATTGTCCCGCGTCTGCGGAGCCCACGACCCGGTACCGTGGCCAGGCTGCAGAAACAGGAAGAGTGAGGCCCGACCTTGAAACAAGGACGCATCTTCAGCCATCCCATGCCAGTATGCCTTCCTCTGCCCTCTCCTGGGACACCACTGGTGGGTGAGCAGGTGAGGCTCCAGACACAGACACCTGATGCCACGACGCCCCGATGGCAAGGCTGGGAGCCATAGAGCCGGAGGAATAGACAGGAGGGCAGCTGAAGCCGGGAGGTGAGCAGATGAAATCTCTGAGGCTGTTTGCAGACAAATGCCTCTCATAATAATAGGAGAGAAAGAGGAGAGAAAAAGGCACACAGCAGGGAGCAAAGGAGACGGGGAGAGAGGGAGAGCCAGTGTGTGGGCGCCAGGAAATATAGGGCATCGTGGCACAGACATGACCTCACTGGAGCACTTCTGCAGGACTCAGAAGGCAGAGGGAAGCCTGAGGCAGGCCCAGGGAATAAGGATGAGGCAGGGGCCTGCCAGCTCCCTGGAGGAGCCCTAAACCAGAGTCCCGGTTTCCCACAGAAGCAGTGGCTGAGGCAGTGGGCTCTGCCTTCCTTCCTCCAGGCTCCCCCACCTCCTTCAGCTTCCCGGCCCTCCCTTCACGTTCCCACATCTGCTCCTTCCTGTGATCTCCCTCTATCCAGAGGCTATCGATTCTTCTCACTCCATATCTATTGATCTCTCTCTCTCCCAGTTTCTTTCTCTTTCTATCATCAATAGATCCACCAGACTCATCTCTTTCCCTTATATGGATGGCTCTACACAGACGCATTTTCCCTACCTGTACTAAGACATGGAACTGACAGCACATTATCTCAGCTCCCTCGACAATAATCAGAATAAAAACATACAGCGCACCCATATTTACATCATTACAGTGCTTTACAGCTAAAATGTGTTTTCACAAATATCTTCTCCCATTTGGTTCAAAACTCACAAATGCACTTCGAAGGCAGAGAGGCCTGCAACAACCAAGTCTGTTTCATACATCAGTAAACCAAGGCCCAGAGAGGTGAAGTGGCTTTCTTAAGGTCGCCCAGCCGGCATGTGGTGGAGGCAGGACTAGAACCCAGGTGTCCACTCTGCCGGGCAGCCTTTCCAAAGGTCTCTTTACTTGCTTTAGAATATAGGAGGTTGGTTTTTTGTGTGTGTTTGACTGACTCATTATGTTTGCTTCGCACCGGCTACATAGCCAGTGCTTAATAAAGGCTTGTTGAATGAATAAATAAATGAGTGCTCAGGCTGATATTAAAATGAGTTTTTGGCCTCTGAGCAGACATCGCCTGGCCAGCGGGGAGGAGAGGGGCTGGCACCGAGCCAGGCCAGCATGAGACACTTGCGGGACTCAGAAGTTGCCCGTGCCCTCTCCTACCCTTCCTACAGACTTGGGAGTCTCGGAGCACCGCCTGCTAGACGGCTGTCTGCCTGCAGTGCCCCTCAGGGGGTCTGTGTCTGCCTGAAGCTCTCTGATGGAAAGGTCTCTTGGTTTCCTGGGCCTCTCCGGCTTGGTACTGCCTTCCTCAAGCCAGTCCAAGGTGGGAGGAAAGGCAGAGATGCAGGGTGGGAAAGCCGTAGAGATGGGGCTCAGGAGCAGAGACAGAGGGGAGGCCGGAGCACAGAGGAGGGTGGTGAGTCCAGGAGGTGCTGGAAGTGGGAAATGGGGGAGAAGATGGGACAGTTGGGGCATTGGGTAGCCAGGCACTCACCTTTGAGGCCCTGGCCCATGCCCAGAGCCAGCCCGTCCTTGGTCCATTGCACAATTCCGGAGTAGTTGAGCAGCACGCAGGGGAGCACGGCCCGCTGTCCAGCCACCACTGTCTGGTCGGCCGGCTCCTGACTGAAGCGGGTCTGGGTCCCTGCAAAGCCAAAGCTGGCACTGGATAAGATGAGCAAGGAGAGGGGCTTCTCTAAGGGGTCCCCATCACCACACAGAAGGAGGGAGGGAGCCTCTGGCTGGGGATGGGAACTCTCTGGTCCCTGCCCTCCTTCGGTCTTAACCCTTCGTTCCAAGATGCTGAGTCCTCGCCCTTTATTCCTTCTTCCCTCCAAGGCCCATGGGAATGGGTTTTAGGAGCCGAAGTGCTCAGCAATCACAGAAAATGGGGCACTGTTATGTAAAGCCCTTAGAAATGTGTCTAGTCCTTCTCCGTTTACAGAGGAGGGCCCTGAGGTCCAAGGAGAGTAACTTACTCAAGGCCAAGTTAGTGGCGGAGCTGGGATTAGAACCTGGGCCCCTGCATCCAGGTTCTGGCTGTTCCTCTACTACCCCCTGCCCCACCCCACCCACATTAATGACTCCTGCTTAGACGGGTTATGTGAGCTGACGCGAGCCAGTGTGAACCAACACATGTGCAGCTGTGCCGGGTCCGCTTCCTCCATGAATACCTCACGGTAGTCTATGGTGCCGGCATATACACGTGTGTATAGAAGCTTCCCGGATGGGAAGTATATCCAGAACAAAGGGGCTCTGAACCCACTTCTTGGCACAGGTGCCCTTCTCGGTGTTCATCCTTTGCTTCCAAGTGCAGGGGGGCAGGAGTGTGTACACGAACACACCTGCACACACCCACCCTCCCTCACCGTGGGAGCTGAGAGGCCACGTGACTTTGTTCCACTCTCCCTCCGGCTGTGGGAGCTACACATGGCTGCCCGGCTGGCAGCTCGGCCGGGAGCATTTGATTAGAGAACTGCAGAGTAATTGCCTTTAATTGTGGAGCCTAAATGGAGCAGGGAATTGCACTGCGGGTTTCTCTCCCCCAGCACTCCCACCCACCAGCTCCAACCGGCACCGGTCGGCCCCAGTGGTGGGGCAGGTCCAGGCTCCTTGCAGAGCTGTGTGAGCTATGGGGCTGTGGGGAAAGGAGGACGGGGGCAAGGGAGTGGCTGAAGGACGGCAAAGGAGAGTTCCGGGGCTTCCTTGCCATGCTCCCCACCTGTCACGCCAGGTAACTGAAATCAGCTCTCCCCAAAAGTCACGGCCGCCTCCTTCTTTCCCTCCCCAGCTCATGAATCTGCAGAAGCCACAATCCCCAAATCTGACCTTTTCTTAACACAGTTTTCTAAAATTCCTCTGACCCAACATCACTTCTGTGTGTAAGCAGACCTAACTCACCCCTCCCCACTCCGGGATCTCCTTCTAAGCCCCCGCAGAAGTGGGATCCAAGTCTTGTCTCTGCCCTTCCTTTTCCTTCACCAGCTCCATTTCTCCTTTTCTTCCCAAACGCTGCTCTACATTTTCCTCTTCCAGGAAACCCTCCTAGCCCAATTCCTTGGCCCCTTGAGCAAATATAACCAGTCACATCACTCGGCCCTGCTGTCATCACCATGTACAGGGATTCCTCTCTCAAACGATCAGGGGTTATGCCCATGATTTTGTTTGTCACATGGCAGAGGGCAGCAGGTAGGTGAGGGCGTTTGCCCTATGTTTATGCCCTATGTCTCCTATATCCAGGAGAATGGGAACCTCTCCTCTAAGGCAGAAGGCCAAGCTCCCTCCTCCATCTGAATCTCCCTGAACATCTGACATCTATCCACATTGGTTGTCAAACAGAAAGAGGACTGAAAAAGAGGTGGCCGGGGGCCCAGCGTGGACTGATAACCAGAATGGGATCTAGCATGAGGCAGCCTCTTTACTCTTGATTCAGTGTGCACATTTAGCTCTTTGGTTCTGCAGGGGCCAGGAAGTTAGAAACAGGGTCCCTCTCCCATACTCCATGAATGGCTCCCCAACTCTGCTGACCTGACCTCTCATTCATGTTTTCTAAAGGATAATCCCTTTTGAGCGATTAGGGTGGCAGGTGCTGAGATCCTGGGGGAGGGGTGGGTCAGGTGAGCAGCCAACATTATTAATTCAAGCATTGCCCTCATTATTATTCAAATTTATTCATATCCTTGCGCATTTCTCTAGTGCAGCTACATGCCGCAAACTCTCCACACTCACGTTTCTCCTTCCCATGGCCCCCGGAGCCCAAGTCAAGGGCTTAAGAGTGGGGTTGCTGGTGAGCCCTGGCTCAGAGGTGGAATTTATATGCATAGCTTTCCTGCATGAAGCCTGGACACCCTGGTCTCTTGCTGAAGTCTCTCAAGGACAGTGAGCAGCTGGCCCTTGTCCACTTGGTATGGAGAGGCAGCTGACCCTGCGGCAAGATGGAGTCGGGCAGCACTTGAAGTAAGAATCAGGAGATGGGGGTCTTACAGAGAGGTGAGGAGTGGTGTGACTTGTCAGTTTCTCATTCGGGCCCCCACTTGCTCATCTATACAATGACAAGCCTGGACTAAGGACCGCTAGTTCCCTCTGTGCTCAAATACTAAGAGCATAGGTTTAGGAGACAGACTATGGTTTATATATTGCCTATGTGGCTTCCTCACCCAGTGACCTTGGCCAAGTTTCTTGCTAGGCTTCATTTTCCTCCCTGGTAAACTAGGGAATGTTAATGCCCGTTTCTGGACGGCTGTCACCGTCAAATGAGATGAGGTGCATGCTCTGCTTGGTTCAGTCTCTTGCCTATACACAGTAAATGGCAGCTATGATCATTATTTCTCCTGAGCAGTTAAGACAATTAGAGGGACAACAGGAAACCTGAGCAGGAACATGACAAAGAAGGTGGTGTCTGACTTCCTGGGAGTTTTGAAGTTTCCTCTTAATTTAGGCCTGGTTGAAGCAATTCAGTCCAGACACAGGGGGATGGAAGTAAAAACGCTGCAGAGAGTTGGGAATTTAATTCTATGGAAAGGCAGCCTAGATCCTGAGCCTACAAAAGCCACAGGCAATGTTTTCTGGTCCCAACACAGCCCCTGCAGTCAACACAGAATCCCAAATAGAGTTCAGACGCCCCTGGGTTATGCCAACCTGGCTTATGACTATGGGAACGCCCCAAGTCTGCCCTCACCAAGTCCTGTTCTGTCAGATCTGTATACACTAAAGCTTTGTCACCTCTTCATGACTTCGAACAGGCCTTTCCCTGGGGAGGACACTGCTCCCCCTGTTCCCTCGGGATTCAAACAGCCACCTCCTCTGGGAAGTCTCCCAGGACTTTTGTGTGTTCCCTCAAGGCCTTCCTACTCACATCTCACTTCTGCTGTAGTAGGGTCCACGTTGCACTGGCCACCCCATCCCTGCTGGGCCCCAGGGGCAACTCCAGGAGTCTGGACCATGTCACTCATCATCAAGCCCATCACCTGGTGCAGGGCCTGCTGCCTGACACACCCCACATGTTCCGAATATGTCTGTTGACTGAGGGAGTGGGAGTGAGTAAATCTGAGTTCACAGTCCTGCCTGTGAAATCTCCATCCAGAAAAGGAGCCAGCGCATGCCCCTGCCCTGAGGGGAGGCTCACAGACTTCCACAGAGGCAGAGACAGGCTGGGCGAGTAAAGGGGACAGCACCCTCCTCCCAGCGAGAGGAGGAGCAATGCTGGGCAGAACTTGGAGCCTGAAAACAGAGGAGCCGAGGAGGGAAGGGCAAGGGAAACAGGCTCTGGTCAGTTCTGACATATGGTCGTGGCGAGAGGGATGTGGGAGAGCAGAGGAGAAAGCCTAGAAAATGAGCAGTGAGGTGCAGGGTGCAGTGGCAAACACCTGTAGTCCCAGCACTTTGGGAGGCAGAGGCGGGTGGATCACGAGGTCAGGAGTTCAAGACCAGCCTGGCCAAGATGTTTCTATTAAAAATACAAAAATCAGCTGAGCGTGGTGGTGGGTGCCCTGTAATCCCAGCTACTCGGGAGGCTGAGGTAGAGAATTGCTTGCATCTGGGAGTCGGAGGTTGCAGTGAACCGAGATTGCACCACTGTATTCCAGCCTGGGCGACAGAGAGAGACTGTGTCTCAAAAAAGAAAAGAAAAAAGAAAGTGAGCAGTGAGATGCAGGCCTGGGACAGGGCATGGCTGCTCAGTCAGCAGGAAAGGGTGAGGGGACCCAGCAGCATTACAGTGTAAAAGGGGGTGAGGTATTGGTTTGACCTTGAGTGTCAAGAAGTCACCAAGAACCCAGTGCAAGTGGTCTAGGCATACATATGTGTGCACATTCTATGTCTCAGGCCCTGCTTGCCTGGCCTTCCACCACCCATGCCGCAAAGCAGAGCCTGCCCTGGACTGGGGGTGACATTTCAATCCTGTGCCTACCCCTGCATCCACTTCCAGGCAATAAAACCAGTGCCAAACAGAAACACAAAAAAAACTGCTCTATGTGGGGGTTGGGGAGGTGACCTCAGGGGGCCAAGTGGGAGGGGAACCAGGAAGGTCCTGACCACTGACATAAAGTGAAAACAAGACCAGCCTCCCACTGCCGGTCAAATCCTGGCAGCTCCAGTCTGGGGCCAGCCAGTGAGAGTCTGCGCGTATGTTTCAAGTGTATTCCAACCTGCTTTGATCTTGCTCCCTCCCTGTCTTCAGACACCATCACAGCTGTGGTGAGCTCTTAAGCAGTCATTGTGAAGACAGGCAGAGAAAAACCGAGCAGCACACCCGTGTGCCAGGGCACGCACACTCACACATACTCACATGCACCCACACGGTACCCAGGAGAAGGCTGACAGAGGCGCGGATGACGCCGAGAAGTAAGACAAAGACACCCACACAGAGGCAGAGGGAGAGCGAGGAGGGAACAGAGACTAGAGTGACAAGGGAAGAGGCGAGCTCAGTGGAAAGAGCCCAGGGTGGAAAAGATGCAGGTCAGACCTCCAGGGATCCAGAGAGAAAAGCACCAGGAGGAGCCAGTGAAACAAAGACACCCACAGAGTAATAGAGACCCAAGGCAAAGCAGGGAGGAGGGAGGCAGAGAGATGGAGACCAGCAGAAAGACAGGGCGGGGAGGGGAGTGGGGGCCCTTGTGGCACCCCATCTTCTGCTGTAGTGTTGGA